CACACCGGCCGCTCAGGCTTCGGCCCACAGCAAGCAGTGACCTTCGTAATGATAATAATGATTACAACGGCCACGGCTAGGCGGTCTCTTTCTCCCTCTCCCCCCCTCTCTCTCTCTCTCTCTCTCTCTCTCTCTCTCTCTCTCTCTCTCTCTCTCTCTCTCTATCTCTCAATGGTTTAGCTTCCCTGTGTTTGTGTTCCAACTAATGGACATGTAAAAAAAAATTCTAGACAGACAAAAACGATGGAAAGACAGAAAGTTGAGTTGAGTTAGAGTTTTACGGAAATGGAGGGCACACACTGATATGTTTTTTGATCTTGACACCTTTTCATAGGATAAAATGTTTGGTAAGCTAGCAATCCATGCCCAACATTCTGTTTCATCCGAAGGAAATCCATACAAGGTCACTTTTTCTGCACCTTTCTGACTGTCATAGCCAGTTTTGCATCCAACAAATGAGCATTTTCTTCCCATTGTTGTTCTTATTCCTTCGGTTTATTTTGAAGGTGTCAGTCACAGTCCAACAGAGTCATAACCACACATGATGAAAGCAATAAATAGGCCTAGAAGAGAAGCATGTAAGCACTGTGAAAGAACAGCAGATATTAATATACAATGCAGGCCGGGAAAAACACAAAGGAGCTCCCCCATAATTATGATCCGTATACTTTTCCCTACCTAACAAGGGTGGGCCCCTAGACGCTCAGAGTCTAGATATATAGATTTATATCTACATGGTCCTTTTAGCCTATTGTTTGTGTTACAAACTAATCTAAATCTAAAAGTAGATCTAGGGATAGGATGGAGAGTTAGTTTTTATTGGTTGTTTGCATACAGAGGCTCTAAGTCAGTGAAGAGTGTGCGGATCAGGAGGGGGGCCTCCACTGTGTAGACATGGATTTTAGACAGATATGAATTAAACTTGCACGGTCAAAACTTCACTATAGGTTTAAGCTAAACACGTACACTGATGGAAGAGATATTTGATATTCACACAATCCAGATGAAAAAAGCATTGAGTACTGTGGTGATGAAGAATCTGAAAATGAACAGTAGGCCTACAGTGCAGCCAAACAGCACTTCAAATTTGCGATCTCAAAACTGTTGGTCAATTTTAATTAATTAATTAATTAGTCACCACCTCTGTTCCTCAACACACACAATGATGTAGAAAATATTCACATAATCCAGATGACTTGAAAAGCAAACTGCATTAGGCAGAAATAATCCAATGTCAAAGCATGAGCAAACAACAATTCAAACTGACCGCCGCACCCTGCGTAGGCTTATCACTACTAATGATCTACAAGGTTGTGGGCCTACTACACGGGTGTGTCAGCCCACAAGGAATCTAGGTCAGTAGCGCGCAGGTGGACTGATTATATGACCGTCTAGGTCTAGGCCTAGGCGATCGATTATATGACCGTCTAGGTCTAGGCCTATGCTGATGGTCATGGTGGTGTGGGGTGTGAAATCTCACGAGTGCCAGTGAAAGTGCCCAAGTGGCGCTCCAGCACGGAAACTTTCACGGGTAGCCAGAGGCCGGAGGTGTGAAATTAGTTTGACCAATGCCTACCGCCCCGATCGTACGGCCAACCAAGAAAAGAGTTCCTCGAATCTTTGTTACTTACGAGGAGGTTAGAGTTGTTACACAGAATTCTACACTAAGTGTGGAATTCTGTGAGTTGTTATTAAGCTCCTTGGTTACTTAGCAGTGAGGCGTGGCATTGGTTGTCTGTGCTTGTTACATCGATGGATGAGGCTACGGGTGGAAGCAAAGGCGATGTGTTCAAATAGAAGGTCAAACAGTGGTCCTATGAAATGCAAGCACTGGTGTCAATGGATAAATTAATAGTACTGACACATGTTGTTATCAGAGAGGATAGCACTTGAAATGTGTGAAGTTTTGACCACTGCTTGCCGACAGAGCACAGACGGAGATTCAGAATAAGAAGGCGGTGGCGATGAATTGGACATACTCTCAGCTGCATAACAAAGAAAATTGACTGGAATCCACAGGATAAGAGATCATAGGGGAAGGCCACGTGGATCTCGAAGAGTCGCCGATTTTGACGTACAGAAAAGTGGGAAGACGTGGAATGTACATATGTATTTTCAAGAGACTAGCCCAGGGTAGGGAAAGGTGAAAAGTGTTCATGACATATCGCCTTGATGTAGAGTGAGCAAAGCAGTGATGATGATGATGATGAATGTACGCGCTTAGGGATAGATCTCTAGATCCACATCAACTTACTTAGAAAGCTTATAGGTGGTGACGGGGAAAATCAGGATGGCCTAATATTAATATAACCTGGATAAACTTATTAATTATTAAAGAGCAGCCAAAGAAAGGAATGAGTGGCGAACCTCTAATTATATGGCTAACGTCTGTGATTGCAGGCAGATCTGGCACTTGATGATGACACACATAGGCCTGCACTTTTAATATTAGAGTGATTATTACGAAGTAATTTTTTTGCTGAGTTCGGCCGTCTCCAAAGCTACCACTGACTCCAAAACGATGCCTTTTTTCCCAAACTAATCCCGATCTCTGCCTCACGTTCCGATCCTCGAATGTTATTGGTTGGCAGATATGTGCCCTGGTGTGATTTTTTCTATCAAACATCTATCATAGCTCATATGGGGTACCCATTGCGGATGGGATCGGGTCGGGGGCAATCGCCCCACTCGTCGCCTGAAAGCAAACGCGTTTGTTTTTTTAGTTGGGCGCGATCGGCTTGTACCACGATAGCCGCTTTGTGCTCTCAATCTGGCTAGCAAACCGCCCCGACCAGACCCGATCCCCCAATGGGCACCCCGTATGATCTCTCTTCCCCCCCTTTTAAATCTTCGTATTACTCTCTCAAGTAACTCTCCTTTTTCTGCACTTAGTAACACGTACTGTAAAACTCGCTGCTAAGACTAAGAAGATCTGTGTTGTTGTTAATTGTTGTTGCTGTTGTTGTTGTTATTGCTGTGTTGTTGTTGTTGTTGTTGTTGTTGCAAGACCCCCGAATGAGATTGGGCTTTGCGTTGGGTTGAGCAAATTTTAATGATAGAAAACACACTAGCTGAAAACAAAACAACCTCCACCCCCCCCCCCCCCCCCCCCCCCCAAATTAACAATTCCAAAAAACAAAACAAAACAAAAAAAACGGGGGGGGGGTTGTTTAAGGCACCTAAATAGAAAAAATTTTTTTTCCCACGTCCTCGCGAAAAAGGCCGGCCCCCGGGATAAAATATAATCTTACAAGTTTAAGAAGCCCTACTCCTTTAATTTTATGCACAACTCATTATGCTGAGAGAGAGAGAGAGAGAGAGAGAGAGAGAGAGAGAGAGAGAGAGAGAGAGAGAGAGAGGGAGGGAGAGAGAGAGAGAGAGAGAGAGAGAGAGTGAGTGAGAGAGAGAGAGAGAGAGCGAGCGAGCGAGCGAGAGAGAGAGAGAGAGAGAGAGAGAGAGAGAGAGAGAGAGAGAGAGAGAGAGAGAGAGAGAGAGAGAGGGAGAGAGAGAGAGAGAGAGAGAGAGAGAGAGAGAGAGAGAGAGAGAGAGAGAGAGAGAGAGAGGAGGGGGGGGGGTCGCTACCAGAGTTTGTGGTGTTGCCTGGGTGGGCTGTTCGCTGTTGCTCAAAGAAGACGAGCGTTTTATTCACATGTGAGGAAGTCTTATAATTTTATCGAGAATCTCTCTTCTGGGATACTGCGTGCGTCCCATTCAATCATAATCAATGATTCAGCCTGGGTTTGTTCTGACACTCACTGACAGGCGAGAGTCGAAACAGCCCGCCCCTAGAATTTTATCTTAATTAATTATGCCAAAAAGGGACAATATTACATTGGAAATAGTTCAATTTAAAATTCAGAAAACCACCAGTGGTTGGAGGGCGCCATTGATAGGAGCAGGTCTTTCCCTTTTTCTCTAACTGACTGATCCTATGTCGAAACGTGCTTCTCTTTGCCCATACTCCATACTCAAGCTTACTTAGGAAGCCATAAGTACATGTACTGTAGGGATATTCAACTTATGAGGTGAGACTATCAAATTGCTACTGTTGTTTTTTTTCTATTTGAAGGCTAGTATTCTAGCAAGCACATAACGAAACACTCACTTAACGAACCGATTTTCAGGTCCCAAGTTTTTATAATAGGCTACATTTATCAATAATATTATTCTTGACATTTGAAACATGCACATAACGAAATTCGTAATACCAAAAATGTTTCCGCGCCCCATGTTGCTATGTGTGCGTGATTGACAGAACAATATATTTGCATTGCTGACTTTTTGCCAGACACTGAATCAACGTTCTTCAAATCAACTCACTTTACTTTCCGTCGCATGTTTTTCTCAGTGTGATTAATTATAATTGCCGTTGTCATATTCTTTAAAAAGTTTTATTTATTTGATTATTTGTTGTTTTTATTTTGTTTTGTTTTATTTATTTGTTTTTGTTCAAGCAACATACAACTTAAGAACCAGAGAAAAGACTTCAGAAGATGCAGCCAAGGAAAGGGGGGCACTGGAAGGACCCAGTGTCAATAAAGAAGAGAAATAATGCATTATTATGTAACAGTAAAAACATATAAACCTTTGACCCAAATGTGACACCCAAAGCTACACAAACTGCAAAACATCAACAGTTTCCACTTTCTACTTCTTAACGACGTGTTGGCCTTTCATAATAATACATGTATTAAATACCGGTAGCTAACATAGAACACATAATTAAGGCCATAGCTGTTGAGGACCCAATTTTGTTGCATGCTTCGGTTGTGCAAAGTAATACGATATATGATGCTAATCTCATACAGCAAGTAAAAGTGACTATTAGAACGCATTTGTTGGATGAAGCAGCCGCTAAAAGACGTTAGAATCTAGTAATACCAAAGAGAGGTGCTTGTATTGGACTAATCTAAACTGTAGCGTTGACTGTTGGCAGAAGGCAGTCCACAACTATTCGAGCTTGAGTGTTCGATTATTGACGTATTCGAGTTGGCGTTCCACTTCGATAAATCATATCATATGACACGATCAAAATGGCGACGTCCGACGACACTCTGGAGATCCTGCTCAGTAAGACAATAGAAGAAAAAGTTTACTTTGCAATTCACGATTTTATTTATTATTTATTCTGTAGTTGCAATATTCAAGTCTTCATCAATAAGGTTCAATTTAGTGTCTGCAATAATTAGGCGGTTTAACGATGCAGACTGTTTTTGTTTTATTTTAAAAGAAATTTAGGAAGCATAAAAAGTTGATGGTTCTCCACTTTTTGACGTTTATTATTGTTCATGTTGGCAGTTGGTAAATCAGTAATCATAGATCTAGGCTGGATTGTACTTTGCTGGACCATCCGTCTCGGCCCATGATTACTACGCAGGCCTAGCCTAACTATGCTCTCATAGTTCTCTATTTCTACGTGCGGACAAAATCAAAAGGTAGCCTTTCTAATCTAGATCTAGATCTAGATCTAGATATATATCTAGACTAGATTCTAGATCTAGAATCTAGAGATCTAGATCTAGATCTAGTTCCGTGGGCGACTTCACGCTCAGTGCAAGTCAGCGGTGAGGTGAGGTGAACGAGAGGTTGTGGTTGAGGGTGGGTAGGGGATTTAACTTGACCACTGTGTATCATACCAACAGTGGAGGCGGGCTTGCCCCTCTGGAAACAATAATAAAGAAACGAAGTGGCTAGCCGTACTTAGATCTAGGTTTGGCTCTATCGACTCAAGCCTGTTAAGTCAGTTAAGTACACGGGTCTCATTAGATCTAGATCTAGTAATTATTCAGGTTCAAATACATGCAAGTCAGCAAGGCACCTTTTGGTTTTGTCTGAAATACAAAACTTTAGGCATTGCAAACTAAAAAATTAATTTACAATTCAGCCATCAATATTAAGTAAGGCTAGCCTGACAGTCTAGCCGTCCTTAAGTGCGGCTAGCCTAGCTGTCTACCCGTACTTATCTTAGGCCCTATTAACATTAGACAACAGGAAGTTTAAAATACTTGCACAGTCATTAAGGCACCTGGTTTCGTCTCAAACACAAATACTTTAGGTACTGCACACTAAAAATTTATATTTACAATTCAGTAGGCCTATTTTTAAAAAATGGTCAGTCTTGCCATCATATTTAGAATAAGTACGGCTAGACTGTCATTAAGTACGGCTAGCCTCTTCCACAAAGAAAACACAAACGCAAAACAATCACATGAGCGGACAATCGTGTTTACATTATCAGGGGGGCTTGCCCCCTTGGCAACAATGATTTAAAAACACACACACACACACACACACACACACACACACACACACACACACACACACCCATGACCTAAACAATAACATGAGCGGACCATGGAGTCGAAGTGGACAATCGGGATAGGTCTATTAGAGTTGGAACAGGCGGAGCCTTGCTTCGCAGCACTCGCCAAGTCACGAGCAGGGCCGAGGGGGTTGTTATTTATGCAAATGAACTCTCGTGCGCGTCTCTTGCCCTCCATTGTACTTTGCCGGACCAGAAGTAGGCCTAGCCTAGCAGTCGCAAGCAAATAACAATAGTGGACCACATGATTAGATTGACCTATTAGCCTCAAGGTGTCAGGGTCGGGGGTCAAAGGGCGCAGTGGCATTGTCGTGATGACTGAAAAACCCGGTAAGAGACGTCAGTCGGTTGTTAGCAGTCGAAGGGTGAGGACGTAGAAAACTGAGTATGAGAGTGAGTAGGGGAGCTCGGAAAGGAAGAATAGTGGCTACTAGGCACCAAGGGCGCCATAGCGAAAGTAGTTCCAACCGGTGGTCCGGCAAAGTACAATCTTACCTAGATCTAGACCTAGTTTTTTTTTTTACATAAACGTAAAAGCGACAGCAAACACCCATAACTCCTCTTTGATTGGCCCATAGAAGATGATTGATGTATTTTTCTGCCATCGATTTTTGTCGTCTTCCGGGGTTTCCCCCAAGACTCTAGGGTTTCCCTCGCCAGTAACTGTTGAGTATGTTTGTTTCTGTATTAATTTGTGTTATCTTTTTTATAAACAATATCAGCAATTCTCTTTCCATAAATTTGCCTTCTCCTCAAAGTTGTTCACACACACACACACACACACACACACACACACACACACACATGCAAACACACTCGCTTTGCTCACACACTTACAAGTGCGTGCACATATGCACACACACGCGCGCACGCACAAACACACAGCCTAAGCAGTCGGTGATGGAACCTTGTGACGTCACTGATCGCGTGCTTAGCTGCAAAGCGGGTCCGCCACGGTGAGATTTAGTCAACTGAAGAGGGAAGCCCCAGAAGACGACAAAAATAGATGGCGGAAATACTTAATCTTTTTTGGGGCCATTCACAGAGATGTGCTAGGTGCTCACTGTAGCTTCATGTTTTTGTAGGGGGGAAGGGGAGGGTCGCGGTGTGTTGTCGCAAACCGGTAGTACTATGTAGTTAAGCCATTACCTGAACATGATCAGGTCTGAACCCAGAAATTTCAAATATTGAAGGAATGGTCCCATTGATAATGTCAATTGAATGATACTATTTCTACTCCTTTTTTTATTACCATTTCATTGTTTTCATTTGGCACAATTCATGGTTCACAGCAATTCAAGCAATTGGGAAGTTATTTGGCTTACTGAAATTTTGTGATCACCACCATTGTTAAAATGTCTTAGAAGCAGGTTCCCTTATTAATTGTCTATGTGCAGTTAAAATGGGCTAGAAGCAAATAGCTTTGTTTAATTTTCTTAGGTCGTTGTTTGCGGGTCTAAGAAAAGTTGGCCAACCTACAGAATCTAGTGAGGTTCCTGCGAACTAAGGTTCCGATTAGTTTTCTCTGATATTACTAAAACGGGTAAAAAACGTGCACAGAACACATTATAATACGTTGACACATATTTTCATGCTCATGAAATATTGTCAAACTAAAGTTAAAGGTTAGTACTTTTTGGACACTTGTGTGGAGACATCTAGATGATCTTGGGCGGAAATTTACAAGCTAACACTGAAATGTTGGCTTAGAATAGTGTCTCTGTTTCAAAATGAGCAAATTGGAAGCGAGGTTTCTTGTAAGTGATTTATTTTAGTGGTCTTGTGTATACACCAAAAGAACAGTGTTTGATTTATGGCCCAAATAAATAAACTTAAAAAAATTACTGAATTAAGATTTTTAAAGAGTTATTTTTGTTTGGTAGCGGGATACGGGAATATCATGTAAAGGTAAACTTATAAGCATTGGTAAAATAATGATAAATGAGCTAGAATTGTTTAAATGGGGTTAGACAAAAGTGAGTAAGCTGTATAGGTACTATAAAGGCATATATTCTTTTTCATGTAGATTGACTGGTTAGTTGAGCGTGGATTTATCATGTGAGAATGTTCTATTTTATCAGTAGTGTGGCTGTCGATGTAGATTAGAATTATTATCTGAAATTGGATACACTTTGACTTTGTTGTTGCATTTTAAAGACATTAGAATGCAACTGTCTGAGTTAAATTGTAGCTATGCTGCAGTTTTTTTAAAAAGCAAGTGCTCACTTACAGTAACAGATATATATATATATATAAAGGTCAAAATTCCAAAACAAAATGCTTGACATTGTTGTAGAAGTACATATCATATTATATGCTGAAGGAAATTTTTGTTTATTTGAAAGTTTTTATCCACAGGCTTCTCCTCTTGACCCTAACCTAATCTCTTATTCAGTCGAAACTGCTCTAATGGCTAAGACAATTTGTAAAAACGACTACTTCCCATATCCCCCCTCTTGTGTTTTTTTCATATATATCATAAAATGTCACTGTCCAAGATGTCCTCCTGTCAATGACAACTACACTTTTCCTCGACAATGAGTGGTAGTCTCGAACAATTTTGTGAAAAGAAATGTTCTTGAGATGTTCTTTTCCTGGGTTACGTTAATGTTTTCATCCAAGTCTTCTTTGTTGTTCAAATTTTGTTGGGTTTTTTTTTTTTTGGGGGGGGGGGGGCAAATGTAAAATAATTAACAACTACAATTTTCTTGATTTGTTGACTTGTTTACAGACAGAGCCACTGACCCATCTATGAAAGAGGAAGACTGGGATAAAATAACAGCATTTTGTAATAAAGTGAATGCTGAGTTAGAAGGTCCACTTCTATCAACTCGTCTGATTGCTCACAAGATCCAGTCTCCTCAAGAGAAAGAGGCTTTGTTTGCTTTGAGTGTAAGTTTGTTTCCAGCTAATACCATTTGATATGCAGTCTAGCATTCACATAACGAAATCATTGGGACACTGGAATCTTTTTGTTATTTGTTCAAAATTTGCTACGCATGTGTTTTAAATGTAAAGAAAAATATGGATTAGAAAAGATTCATGCCCTGAAAATCTGTTCACTATGTGTATCACTATGTGTATGTTCACTATGTTCATGACCTGAAAATCTGTTCACAATATGCATTTATCGCTATGTGCATGTTCACTATATATAAATGCTAGACTGTGTCTTTGCTACCTCCACAGTGTTAGACTAAGAGAGAGATAATAAAAAGCAGAATTGGGTTGGACCTCTTAAACTGCAAATTGTGTTATTATTTTGTTCCAGGATATGTTTGTTCCATGTACAAATGTAAAGCTTGTTCTTTGTTATAAATTGTATGACAGGGAAATATTTTTCAAGCTTTTCATGTACTGTGACTGTCACTGAAGAGTATGCAGATCTTGGAGAGATTGCAGAAAGGAATATCTGTATCTTGTGTGAACACTTTTCGAATATTATAACATAATATGCAAGACGTATGATTATTAAAATCCCCAATATATTTACCAAAATATATATATCTTTGTAAATAGTAAGGGACAGTTTTGATGCTATTGGTTCTCTTACAGAGAACAAGTGTAAAAACAATTGCAAAGGCTTGCTGCGTGTGTTCCAAGGTTTTTGACCAGACTATCGTTGCTTATGGTCATTTGTATCTAAGAGAACTGTTTCTGCGTTAGTTTGTCACACACTTGGGTAGGAGAAATTTTAGCTCCCAAGTTGTTCAGTTATCATTATCTTGTAAAGACTAATTTGTCTGATGTGTCTAATTTACGTTTATAACTTCAGCTTCTTTTGTGTTTGTTTGCAGAATTTGGGGGGGGGGGGTGTCATGTTAGATCCCTGTAGAAGACAGGAATTTCATTTAGGCACAGTCTGAAGAGGGGAAAAAATGTCCTTTTTGTCTGAAAAGACTTTTTTTTCTTTATTACCATAATGACATACTGTTCCGAATGGTATTTTTGAACTTCACAGATGTATTTATTTGCTATTTTCTGTTTAGACTCTGGAGGCCTGCGTCAATGAATGTGGCAGATACTTCCATCAAGAAATTGGAAAGTTCAGATTTCTGAATGAGATCATTAAAGTTGTGTCTCCAAAGGTAAGTGTGAAAGGGGAAAAAAATAAACTTGCACTTTAATTGTTAAGATGATATAAGTAAGGAGAAGTAAACTGGTTGTCTGTCAGAGGTAGAAGTTAAGATCAGACTGTTTTTGAAGACCAAAATAGAAAAAAACAGGAGTCACATTTTCATGTTTAGAGGAAATCAAGTTTTAAAGTTCAAAACACTGTACTTTGATACTTTTTATCTGTTATAAATACCTTCTTTTAGAAAATGGGATGTTCAACTTCAACGTTGTCAATAACAGTAGAAAAGAATTTAAGTATCATAGGCATAGTAATTGGTGTGTTTTGGTTCTGCTTGATTTGTCAGCGGCGTTCGATACCATCGACCACAAAATTTTACTAGAGAGATTGGAAAAGTCATTTTTACTATCAGGTACTGCTCTAATGTGGTTTAAATCATATCTAAACAATAGATTTATGTCAGTGAAAATTGGCAATGATGTGTCAGATAGGTTACCTCTAAAGTACGGAATTCCTCAGGGTTCGGTCCTTGGTCCTGTCATCTTTACAATGTACACGCAAAGTCTGTCATCAATAATTTCTTTATATGCCCTTAATTACCATCTTTATGCAGACAATACACAGCTGTATGGATTCACTACAACTGAAAATGTACACAATCTCATAGATAGAATCGCCAGATGCATCAATGATATAAGAAAATGGATGTTCAAGAACAAATTAAAATTAAATGAGAATAAGACCGAAATATTATTTCTTCGTAGCAGCGCATGCAATGAAATCGACAATATCAGAATAAACATCAATGGCCACGAAATATCAGCCCAAACTAAAATAAAAAATTTAGGTGTGGTGCTAGATCAAGATATGTCAATGAAATACTATGTATCCAATCTTTGTAAAAATCTATATCTCCAGCTGAAGAAAATAGGGAGCATTAGAAAATATCTATCTGTTGGTGTCACCAAAACTTTAATAACATCACTTATATTGTCAAGGATTGATTATTGCAATTCCTTACTGGCTGGTGTACCTGATGAACAGTTACAACAACTACAAAGAGTACAAAATATTGCTGCCAAAATAATTACTAAAAAACTAAAGCATGATCATGTGACTCCTATCTTAAAAGCATTACACTGGCTCCCAGTGAAAGAGCGTATCATATATAAAATCTATTTAACTTGCAACAAGTGCTTAAATGATTTATCACCGGACTATCTAAAACAGCTTTTAACACCCTATGTGCCTCCTAGAACGCTCAGATCATCAAGTGACAAAACAACCCTTGTTAAGCCTAAAATAAATTACAAATCATATGGCCAACGCTCTTTTTCATATTTTGCCCCACTTGTTTGGAATAGGCTTCCAAAAACTATCAGAGAAGCAGAAAATCTAGAAATTTTAAAGAAGAAACTAAAATCATTTCTATTTTCATCATATTTCGATTAGACAGAATGCATCCAAGCTGTAGATCGTTGTGAGTTTGTATGTGCATATGTACGTATGTGTGTGTGGTGCGTGCGTGAGTGAATATGTGTTTGCATGTAACACTATGTACCTTTAAAATTGATTTGTAAATCCATAATATGTATCATGTTAAGTGCATAGAGCATTGCATAAGTGGATATGCGCTATATAAATGCAATCCATTATTATTATTATTATTATGATAAATTATTAAATGTATCTGAGCCTGCCTCCTTTCGGTATCAATTGCTCCAGGACTGCCCCAAGGATCCCCCCTCTCTCCTGTGCTTTTCAATGTGTACACTGCACAGGTAACGATGTATCAGAAAGAATCTGGAAGTGTCCTGAGCTTTGCGGATGACATAATGGCATACGAGCATGGAGATGACAGACTTCAGATGGCAGGGAACATGGAGAAAAGACTTCACTCAGTTGTAAAATGGTGCGACCAAAATGAAGCTGTCATCAATCCTTCAAAGGCGCAGGTACTTTGGTGTTCCCTCAACAACAGGATTGTCCAAGACATAACTCCACCAATCACTGGCAACTATGAGATTATCGACAGACAGTCAGAGCTGAAGTATCTGGGAATCGTCTTGGACAGGTCGTTGTCCTTCAACAAGCATGTGAATCATGTGGTAACAAAGGCCAAACGAGGTGTTGGTGCAATCAAGACCATGGCGGCCGCTCTGATTCCGCAAAGAGTGCTCTTCCTGATGTTGCAGCTGGTCGTCCTTTCTGTCATTGATTACGGATTGGGCTGTCTCACGCTGTCCGACACACAGATCGCAAAGCTGGATCGAGTGCAGAATGAGGCAATGAGAGCAGTGCTGGGCTGCACCATGGACACTCCAATATTGTGCATGCGCTACTTGCTAGGTTTAAGTGGCATCAGAGTACGCCATAGGATAGCTCAGGCAAAGATGTATCTTAGTGTAATGGGCAAGAAGGATCATCCACTTCACAAAGCACTTCATGACAACAGGAGAGTCAGAATCAAGAGAGGAAAATCTTGGATGGCGGAAGCAGAGGATTCCCTGAGAACAATCTGTGTACCTGAGAGCCTACCACTAGGCGAAGAATGGGAGCAGGTGGCCGGAGAATACAGGGACCTCACCAAGGTCAAAATAAGCATGGGCAGAGACAGAAGAAATGTTGCGGCTGCCATCAACGAGAGCGATATCAATGAGATTGTTGACATAAACTCAAAAGCAGGGGATCCTATAATTTATACAGATGGTTCAGTGAAAAGAGATAGCCAGAGAAGTGGATGGGGATTTGTTGCATTCGCCAACAATAAAATCATACACAGTGCATCTGGAGCCTGCAGCAGGGCTACATCAAGTATGCGAATGGAAATTGAAGCCATCACAAAAGCACTTGATTGGATGACCCAAGATCGCCCCCACACAACCCATGCTGTTCTTATCACTGATTCCATGTGTACCCTCAGAAGGATCGAAAAAGGTTTCCTGAGAACGGAGTGGATTCAAGCTATCGAACCAACGCCTATACGATCGCTCACATGGATTTTCTGCCCTGGCCATGCAGGTGTTAGGGGAAATGAAAAAGCCGACAGATTGGCTGGTGAGGCCACCTTAGTTGACAATACGGTTTCGAGATCCTGAAATGTCTTTCTCGCCAACTGATTGAGGAGGAAGATAGGGAGGCAGAGGCCAGTACTGCCGTGGAGAGGATGATGCTTTTGGGAATAAACAAAGGAAGCGGAAAATCTGGCATCCTTGCAGGAAAGAACAGAAGAACGTTCAACCAAATGTGCACTGGCACAATCAGTAGAAGGACCCTCGGCAACATTTTGGAGAGAGCAACGGAGCATCAATGGACATATCCGGAGTGCAGGGATGTTGCTTCCTGAAACAAGAACAAAAACAAGAACCTTGCGAATTTCCTTTTATTTTTATACGTCAGTATTTTCTCTATGTTAATATTCTTCCTGACGGTGATAACAGTTTCTTAAACATCATTTCCTGAATGAATAAATATTATTGTTATACATGTGGGTTTCATCTGATAGGAATTGTCTTTAATTAAGTTTTTCTGTATTTTATGCTCTCAGTATTTAGGTAACAGAACCGCAGAGAGAGTAAAGACAAGATGCATTGAAACCTTGTACAGCTGGCATAGAGGGCTCACACATGAACCGAAAATCACAGAAGCATATAAAATGTTGAAAGCTCAAGGCATAATCAAGGAAGATCCAACTTATGTTGACAAAGTGAGTTTTAATATTCAAGTATTTATGCACTTTTGATTTGATATCTTTGAGTACCACCTTTGAGGAACAATTTCATTTTAGTTATACTTCAATTGTTTCTGAATAGAAATCTTTGTATTAATGTTGTTCAAAGAGCAACACACACACCTGAAAAATTACTATCAACAAAAAAGTATAAGATTAAATATGGTGCTTGCAGTATTATAAAGCTGACTGGTTACCATGCTACTTTTTGCCTTAGTGTAGTCGAACCCGCCTTACCGGCCACCTGTCCAAAACAGTCACCCATACGAATCACCACTCCCACTTCTCCCCTTGCATTGAAAAAAATAATTATGATAACATTGTCCAATATTTCCACCTGTCTAAGATAACCAGTGTCCTCCTTGACATTGGGTCGTTGTCTTGGACAGTTTCGACTGTATTTCTAACTTCTAGACTATTAATGTTGTCCATAAAGTACGATGTGATCTACTGCAGTGTAGTATCCTTGGGTGTAGATGGGTTGTTGGAAGGTGCTGCTGGTATGTTATAAGTATTTTCTCTTCTTCAGATGTTTTTGTCAGCCTCTCTGTATTTATCCCAGCTATAAATGGCAGTTTTCATGTCTGTGAGATTCTTTTTTGTTAGGAGACCTGAGTTCGTTTCCAGTGTAGGGAGAATTTTTATGGAGTATCTCAAGTCTTTCTGGTTAGACATTGTATTCCTTTCAGCCTGGGCTAGCCCTGATAGGCATGGTTGGAGCATGCCTCCTAAATGATCTAAATTATGTCAAAGGGGGTTATGAAAACACCTACATTAAAAGAAATTAAAACTTTTTCTCTCCCCACATTCTCTGCCTTCTTTTCATGTCGGTATGTAATGTAATGTACATGTTTTGAACTGTCATGAGGATATGTCACTTATTTCTCAAAGGCTTCAACAGTGCAGTAGTTAACATTTATACATTTTTCCTTTTACAGACCTTCAGCCCTTTTCCCCCTCTCAAACCAAGGAAGGCGGACTTTGAAGATGATGAGAAAGCCAAGGTAAGCAATCTTTGGTTTCATGCTGATCACAATTAAAAGTGATGGTTTAAGATTTACCTTTTTGATCTGTATTATTTTGATACATGTTTTTACATGCATTCTCATTTCCTACCCAATCTTATGATATTTTATTCTTATAATGGATCTTAATTCATTGAGTTGTGCCATATTTCTTGTGTTGATGATCCTGTTGAGTGTGTCAGTGCATATTCTTTAGTGCAGTGTTCTGAGTATATTTCCTTGTGTTTTTACTATTTCGATAAAGCTGCGAAAAATTTCCCACAGGGGTAGTAAAGTACTGTCTTATCATATCTAATCTTGTCTAGTAAATCATGGGATCTTGCAACATTTTAGAATCTGCTGCCTCTTGTTTCTGGGTGTGCCTCCTGGACAGTTGCTGTTATCAGACGTAAAATCGGGCTGGCCAACGTTTCGTATATCTTTGGACTGGCACGGATTTTGCAGTTGGGAATTTGACAGCTGTAGCAAATGCACTTCACTAAAAAATCAGACCCACTTGGTGTAATTTTGTTCATTGTTATATTATCGGGTGTTTTAAGTGTTATACTGCTGGTTTGCTCAGATGGGGTTTTTAAAAAGCTGGCAAGCCTGCAAAATTGTGTTTGTGTGGTAGGGAAATTTTTTTGTATAATATTAGTTGATTTTATATAGGCCTAGATTCTCTTGCATTCTAGTCTTTGAGATTGTTGTAAAGATTGAATTGTTTGACAGTTTTCTGTTTTCAATATTTTTAAAATCTATACAGTTAAGAATGAACCATAAAAACTTGAATTGTTTCTTAAGATTTCATTTCAAGTTCACATTCTTCCTCGCTTTTTTGTTTGGTTCCTTATAGCTGGGACCCAAAACTGACAGATGTCAAAGTATGTGTTGAACTGTGCTTATATGAAAGATTTGCTTCTTATTTGGCATAGATAAATTAAATGCATTTTTGTTACTGAACCTTTAATGGGTTAAAGGAGATTTAATTAGAACTGAAGTTTCTTTAGATGTAATTGAAAAATCAGGAACTTTTCAGTTTTAAGTGGTAGAATTGAAGTAGCCTACCAAAGAAATCCATATGTTTGAGTAAAAAATTCAAATCTTATATTTGATCATTCTTTTCAGACTTTGGAAAAACTGTTGAGAAGTAAAAACCCTGACGACTTACAAGCTGCAAACAGACTCATAAAGAACATGGTGAAAGAGGTAAAAGACCACTTAGAATAGTAAATTCAAGACTATTTAAACTAAAATGGAAAGAAAATGGACCTTGTAAAAGGTGACATGCACAGCTAAATCAATGTAGTAGACACCGCTTGGCATTATGTTTTACATTATTTCTGACTTGTGCATGGTTTGGATCAGTGTGAAAGTTTTTACAAAGCAAATTTGACTACTAAGGAAACAGTAGTTTATATGAGAAATTTAAAGAATTTTGAAGATATGTTGAAGAATTGTTGTCGCAAGAGATGTTACAACTGAATTTTCGTTTAAAAGAAAGGATTTATTGATGCAAACTGTTATATGGCCACATTTATTCACCATTTACTTAAAGGGAAACATTTGTGTGTATGTTGTTTTTTTGTTTGTTTTTTTAGAGCGACTTATAGAATAGGTGGATATATGTAAATGACAAAAATAATCATTTGTTCTGCATTACTGACTATTATTTTTTTGCATCCAATCTTTCTCTTTGAATACAGGATATGGAAAAGACAGAGAAAAGATCTCGCAGAATAAATGAACTGGAGTCTGTCAGAAATCAAGTTAAGCTGTTGACAGAAATGATAAGTCACTTTTCAGCTGCATCATCATCAAAGGAAGATATGGAGATGATGAAGGTATATAGAGTATCTTTATTTGCTCTGTATTTGAGAGTGGATAGTGTATGTAAAAGTGTAGTACACACCTCATTACATTATGCTAAGTGATCTCGTTTTGCAGGCATAAAGAATTTTTTGGTAATGCGATTTCACCCTTTATGAGTTTCTGAGTAATTTAGTTTGATTGTTTTCATATACTATCCTAAATAGTCAGTTCTTTTTTTTTGGTAAAGTCACAGTGCCATCAATTGAGATTTTTATATTCTTTCAGAAATAAACAACCCAAAAGAAAGGCTCTTGAAAAAAGAAACCCAACTATATCGGTTTGAATAATTGTCTTTATTGTTTGACAGTAAAGTTCGGTTTGTCTTTTTTTAACAGGAACTCTTTGAGAATCTTGAGAAACAAAGGCCAAGTTTGATCAGACTAGCCAGTGACACTGATGAAAACGACAATGATGGAATAAGTAAACACATTTCCTTTATTCATTTCAACAAATAGAGATATGTTGTTGACCTGTCTGAGATGTCGTTCTCAAAACATTCTTTCTTGATTCTTTTTCTGTTAATGGACTCCTAAGGTGGTTATTGTTGAGTTATGGTGTTCTGTGAGGAAGCATGATATCAATAGCTACATTTGCGAGATGACTTCTATGCTGTGAAAATTGGCCTGATGATGTGGTCAGATTAGTGCTTGTCAACATTTGTACAACTTATAACCAGCGCCCACTTAAACAGGCTAAAATTTTCATATCGCCCACCTACGTGCATTTCCAAGCAGGGCGTAGAATAACAGTTGTCACTACAGGGATGATCCCCACGACTCACCAGAACACCTATTTGAGTGTATTTCTGCATAGGTATGCAGGCAGTAGGTTAGATGATTTAACCTGAGAAGCGCTCAGCGTTTCACCAGAAGTAACCCTCCCGAAATGCCCGCCGCCACGGCCGATTGGTTGTAAACACAGGGGTTTAGCAGGAGGGGATATCAGCTGAGACATCAGAGATGTTTACCTGCAACTGAAAAATGACCATTTACGGCTCAACAAATGATAAGAGACATATAAAACCATATCTTTTCTTGAAGCTGATTGAATGAGCCATTAAAAAATGTTAAGCGATCAAACAAGTACAAAAAGGCGCAAAATGTGATGAACTCAACTATTAGTACATTAGCACGGTGAAACAAGTGATAACACATAGCATGTAGTCACACAGCTGGACCACGTTACTTTATCGGTTGATATCTGGGCTAAGACATGCTCTACAAGGTCAAGATAACTTGGAAGTCATTGGTCACTATTTATGACTTTGACCTGCAATTTACTACGTCGTTTTCCATTTAGAGAATACAAAAAGGTCAGCCTCTATACCCTTTATATAGGGCCTGCGCGCTTCCTGGTCGAAGTAGGTCGGTCCTATATAGGGCCTGCATGCTTCCAGGGTTAATATTGTAATGCCAGGCTAGTTGTGAGAGATGGAAGTAGTTTTGTTATTGCTAGACAAACTTTCAGATCTGTGTGTGTGTTGCAGTACATTCCCTCTCACATTGTGAAAGCTTGTGCAGATTTTTTGTGTTTGAAACCGTCTGAAGCTCAAATCATGTGGGTAAATTGACAAAAATGCTGTTTGTACTGTAGCAATTGCTTGAATTACTATTTTTTTCACAATTCTAGAGGCGAAGTTGCAGTTACTGTCTTGACATCATTTCTGAAGTTATGGCCCTTATATAAGACTTAGATATTTTTCCAATACTGAAAAGATTTTTTGAAAATGTAAACTGCTAGCTCAAGCTTTTGTGGTACATTACCATAGTTATGTCAATGTGCCTTTCTCCCTGACAGACGACATTCTTGAAGCAAACGACTCTGTCACTCGAGTGATGACCATGTACAAACAGACTGTCGAGGGGGTGGCTCCTGCTGGAGATTACTCGGCTGGTGCTAAAGGTGAGAGTTCATGATTGTAGCTTGCTCTAATTGTAGCTTTCATGTGCAAGCGGAAAATGCGGATAGGTTTTAGGTCTAAGCAGCTCTTATGGTACTTTTTTCCAATATGTAATTTACGTTTTACTATTTTGAAAAAGGGGAGTGGGGAAATGATATGCTTTATTCCTCAACAGTTTTTAGTAGGTTGAAAGGATGACGGTTAGGAAAGGACCTGCATGAAGGTCAGTTTTGGTAGGTTACCATGTTGCTTAGTACTCATGTCTGCTGGTATGGTCAAACATTTATTATATCCTGTGTTTTGTTATTAAGTTATGGGGCTGCATGGCTAAACACACTTTATGTATTCACTACAAAACTGAAGAAAATGGGGGGAAAAATTATTCTCTGAGAATTATAGTGTGAACAAAATAAAATGCAATTTTATCACACTAAATATCAAGGGATACAGTGCATATTGTGAAGAAAAAAACATTCTCAGAACAATTCTTATCTTAAGATTACAGAGTGAAAGCGGTGGTTTTCTGGGAGTGCCAAATTTGGCACGTATTATGGTTTGCTGTGGAACATTTCATGTATTACTTTTAAAGGTAATCGGCATCTGAGTCACCATTATTGTTGTCTGAAGTATTCCTCAAACTTTCGAGTGAAAAATGGCGTAAAATGTCTACAACTTGTTCTGTTACAGATTCATCATTACTTGATCTTGGGCTGGACTCTGGTGCTAACAGAGCTGTGGGCAATACAGCGGGCAACACACCTGCAGCCGCATCCTCATCAGCTGCTCTCTTGGAAAATGATTTTAAGAGTCTAGGTATGTGGAGTCAAGTGTTCTCTTGGAAAATGATTTTAAGAGTCTGAGTATGTGAAGTCAAATGCTGTCTTGGAAAATGATTTTAAAAGTCTGGATATGCAGAGTCAAATGCTCTCTTGGAAAATGATTTTAACAGTCTGAGTTTGTAAAATCAAATGACACGACACACACGCTCATATGACCTTATGCAGTTGCAAGTGCTGTAAAATTTTAATCAAAACGAAAAGTGTCAAATGCTCTAAATGTGGCAAACTTTTCTCTGCCCAAATTGGTCTCATTGGTCGCAGGAGCCGCAACTCATCTTAACCCCTTGCTCTTCTAATTCTCTTTAAGAGACGTTTTCTTTAAGAGATGTTCTCCTGTGCTGATACATTAATCATAGTCAGACACAATTGGACCAACTATTATTATTATGTGGAGTCATTTGGCAACCATTGTCTGTTCTGTAATACTTTTAGTTAGTTAGGACTTATATCACTCACCAGTTACTGATGTATTGCTCACACGTACTTTTTGGTGTTTATTCTGCCTGACTGTCCATGATAATGGCAAATTGATATCATTACCTCTCTGATGAGGTCCGAGGTGTCAATTTTCCAGATAAATCAGGAAATCCAGATTTCTGAAATTGTTGAGATTTTGTTTGATATTCCAGTTTATACATGCATATTTATTTATACAGTCGAACCTGCTCTATCCGCCACCTTAATGAGACAAGTGCAGAATGGGCAACTTCCCATTTCCTTTCTTGCATATGTCTAAGGTGGCCACTTTTCTCCTCGACAATGGGTGGCTGTCTCTTATTATATACTTTCAACCGTATTTTAATTTTTAGTCTCTTTTTACATGTCATTTTGAACTTTATAAAAACCCCGTCATGATACAAAAGGCATTAGACAATCCGGTCAGTAAACCTAGAGTCCTTTCGTGCACATTTCCATGGCGTCTGAAAATTACAGGAGTTTCTTTATAGCCAGTTGGCACCTCTGTGTTGTAAAGAAAGATAATAAATAGAAATTATATTGTCTCTGCTTCAAAATTTATAGCAATAGAACTTCATGTTCCACTCCAGTGTCAGTATATGTTGCAAATGATTACAAGATTCAAACCTTCTCTCACAGAACTGTGGGTATTTGTGTGTGTCTGTGGAAGTTTTGAGCTGGACATTTGAAAATCAATTTCGCTATCCTCTCTTTCTCTCTTCTCATTTGTTTATGCCTGAATTACTTTTTGATGTTTTAATTGGGTTAGGTCACATGTGCATCTTGATTCTGGCTTGATCTCTTTGTGGTAAAATTAGTTTACCTTCAGCAAACCTTCCATTAAAAAAAAAATGTAGCTTATGTTTAAAATAAAGTGTCTGCGGCCATAGAATTTGTAAAGCATAATTGGTTTGGCAGTAATGGCACTGACGTCTGATATTTCTTTTAAATGTGCTTTTCACGGGTTGATTACCCTTTTGTTGTCTGAGTTTTATTGTCAAGAAATTGTTTGCTACATTAGAATGCTTCTCATGCAAATTTTGAGGGTTTCGAAAATGTGTTATACGAATACTTCTTTTCCAGGTCTTGGTGACATGAATGAGCTTGGATCAATATTTAACAGCGCTCCAGGAACACAAAGTCAGCAGCAACAACAACAGGTGACCTACGGGAATTTTGTTCACGGCCATCTGTATTTGATGTTGGTTACTCACACTTGAGTTATTTTGTCTTGGATGTGTCTCTCACTTTAATCTTTAAGCTCCCTGAAGTCTAAACTATTTTTAGCTCAACTACCATTGCATCCTAACAGTTTTTGAGTATGTTGAATAGATTAGTATCCTGAACCTACTCTTAACATGTTGATATTCGGACAGTTTCTAGGGAAAAAATGAATCGGAACAAAGAATAGTAACAATGTACAGTGTACCATCTACAGAACTAACCCTCTCATAACCTTGTGTTGACAATAGCTAAAACATCACATGCACAAAGTTGTACTAATCAGAGGGCATCAATTTAGTGGGATTGGGCAAGGAAAAAGAAAATGGGCATGTTAAATAGTTAACCACAAAATGACTGAAAGCTATCCGAGTTTTAAAAAAAAGGTAGCAAAGGAAAGAAAGAAAGAAATGCTCTCAAAGAAAAAGGTAACTGTGGGATTTTGAAAAAATGTTTGCATCCAATTATTATTACATAAAATAACTGAACCGTATGAAATAATCAACACCAAGTGTTCATATTACTTATATTTGTCATAAAGCATTTTCTGAGCAGCACAGAAACTACACATACGGGACATACAAGCAGTTGATTATTACTGATTATGTTGAGTTTGGTGGCGGAGCATAGAACAGAGTTCCAGTAAGAGTACATGTGTTTCACAGATGGTGCGACACCTGTTGCTTTAGCTCTCTGTCTGAAGTCCACACTGAGATACTAATGACCAATGTCTTTTTCTCACCAATGTGTATTAATACAGCTGCAAGTAGTAAATTTACTGCTACCGTTCCCAGAACTAGAACTTCTAGATTTACTTACTATCATTTGGACTAATTTGGAAAAAGAAGAAAGAGACGGGTGCCTGTTGTGTAGCAGTTAGGTACTTCACTATCACACACAAGAGACCTAAGTTTGATTCCCAAGTGGGGAGAATTTTTATTGAGTATCTCGGTCTTCTATCAAGTTTTCCTAAAACAATGTGGTTGTGTTAGTGAGTGAGTTAATGCTACTGGTGATGAAATGAAGAAAACATCTTGAGGGTTTGTGTCAAAGAATAGGTCATCTTATTGTGCGGATGATTTTCTCCATATTATTTAAATACATTTTTCTGTCATTCGTTAAGAAATACCATTATAGAAATAACAATGAAAATATGCATGCTTAGAAAATTGTTCTAGCAATATTGCAGTCTGAAATAGCTGTGGTGTTGGAATGAAAAACCACAAAGACATGTTTTTGTGTTCAGTCTGAGTCGAAAATGTTAAGAAAGATCAGCTGTTGATTATTCCTTGTGCGCTGAAATGGTTTGTCATGTCTTGTGTCTTTCTTCCTTCTCCCCAGCAAGCCATGGCTTCTTCAGTGCCAGTGGCCCAGGCCCCAGGCTTTGGCATGCAAGCAACTCCTTACGGCTTTGGGCAACAAGGCTTTATGGGACTGGCCACTGCTCAGCCTCCCCAGGGGGCGTCGGCTGCGTTTCCTCAAGGTGGGATACATGTCAAATCTGTGAACATAATTAATTTGATCTTAAGTTGTACGAGCTATGAGCCTAGGTCTACATGCTCTGGTCTCTGAGCAAGAAACAGGACCGGTGTTGATCTATGCGAGCCATCTGTTTGACAGGAAGGACATTGTTGGTTTCCCTGACTTTAACCGTGACATAAGACAATAGAATTTTACTGTCTTATATTATGGAAATGGTTTACTAAATCTGAACGTAAGTGATCAAAGTCAAAACACAAAAGTTGACAGTTTGAATATGTGGATAGTTGGGCAGTGTTTGTATGCTGATATTTTGAGAATGGCTTTTTTTATAATGCACGCACATTCACACTTGTATATAACTTGTTGGCTTATGTATTATTTAATGTTTTTCTATTTCAGGCCCACCTCCAGTGTATAGTGCTATCTCTCACAACGTTGGTCCCACGTCGTCATCTTCAGCTGCCAGTGCCAATCCCCCCGCCAATCTGGTGAACTCAAATGGAGCCACGTGGACGGCAGCCACAGCGTCAGGAGGGAAAGAATCATCAAACACAAATTCCAGCCTCGCTGATCTGGATATCTTAGATAAATCTCTTCAAGACTACAAGCTTAATAAAGAAACATTCCCCGTTAAGACGTGAGTGTGTCTATTTTGGACAATTTTTAATGAGTCGTGGTTCAGTTTCTGCTGTATTTGTTTGGTTGGGTGTGAGTATTTGAAAGTTAGGGTCAAGATGTTGCAAAATAAGTAAATAAAATAAAAGTGCTTGGTTTATTCATTAAAAAAATAAAGTATATATGTGATATATATATATTATATTTTTATTTTTATCAAGTGTGAGTGAGTGAGTGTGTGTGTGTGCTTTGCTGCGCAGTCACAAATTCCCCCATTTTGAAAGGTAGATTATATTGTAGATGTCTGATTAATTATTAACTACATACAGTAATACAGTTCCTGTATAACTTGGTAACTTTTTTTCTTTCCTCAGGCCCCAAGTGAAAATGTCGCTCAATCAGATGGGCTCTGTTAAATCTTCGGAAGCAACCTCATCAGGAACATCACCAGCATCTGCGTTTCAACCTCCGCCCTCATCTATCATGGTGGGACAAGTTCTACAACCCAACTCCCCAAGCGATGGCCTCCTCAAACCAACAGTCTCCTCGAATGGAGATTTCACAGCAATGGTGTCTGCTCCCCCTGAACCCAAGCTAGACCTACTGCCCCTCACCGATGTGTTTGTACCTCTAGAGAAAATTCAGCCAGGTGGGTCGTCTGAAATGTATCGCTGTGAAATATTAGTTGTTACTTTCTTCCTTGCGTTTGAGTAGAGGACATGCACATCCTTTAATCCCTTTGTTGTCTTATGATGAATCTGGTACATCACGAAAATACGTAATTTTTAGCTTTATGTCATAACCATGGGTGTTACAGAAGTTGGCAAAATGTGCTGCTCCTGATTGCCTATATGACGTTACTTCTGTACTTAATGCTAATCACCTGGATATAATTCTTCTGTGTATGCAGATTTAGCCACAAGAAGTGCATGGACTCATAATTGGTAGTTAAAAAATGCACAAATGGGTACAAAATTTGCTAGTGTTACTTTACTGCTAGATTTGCAAGTGATTGATTATAACAAATGGGTACAAAATTTGCCAGTATTACTTTACTGCTAAATTTGCAAGTGATCGATTATCACAAGTTTAGTCTCCCAAAACGTAAGCATTAAAATGACTTTTTTAAAAAGCAGAAAATCTACTTTTTTATTTAGATTTGCTACTTTTTCGGGAGTATGAGTAAGATGAAGAATATAGGGAACTGGGGAAGTCCAGAAAGTGACATGATTGAAGACTCGGGGTCTGAAAATTGTCACGAGTGAGCTGGATCTAGGACACAAGTCTTTTACACTGAGACATGAGACTGCCATCCTGGCTAACAAGCGATGCTGAAAATGGGTGCTAACAGTAGGAAAGCACATCCCCTAGCAATGAAAAGGTCCTGCCCCTTGGACAGTTTAAACAAAATTTTACTACAATACTGCTTTTGACTTATGTAAAACCCCCCCAAATAGACCCACCTCTTCGTGGTGGGGGGGATGAGTACTCTTCGAATAGGAAAAGAAAAAGAGGAAGCTAACGGGTCAAGGAGTGACCTCGAAAAGAGACATATTACTTTACTATGTTTCTTATTCTTTCTATTTATTGTCTTTATTGTTTTACTTTATTACATTTATTAACTTTTCTTTTCTCCTCTCTCCATCGACAACCTTTCTTTGACCTGGAGTTGGGACGGGTATTGGTGGGGTGGAAAGCAGAGGTTCATTGTCAGCATTGTACTGGATGTGACTTTACGTAGAGAATACCCAGCTACATACATGTATTAAGCATGCACTTATCGGAGAGCCCTATGACTGCGGAGAAGGTGCAGAGACCATTTGCGTCTTGCTTGTTGACAACATTTACCCTCTGGGATCTGCCATGCCTTCCCCTGCCCCCATCTCTTGGATGAGAGGACTTGGTTGCTCGGATAGGAGGGGGGGGGGGAATCTAGCTTCCAATTGGTATTATTATTACTATTAGTATTATTATTATTATATTATAATTTTTGTATTTCAGCAACACACAGCAACTATGCTCTTAATAGCGTCTTTCTCTTCTTTATCTCCTCAAACAACTTCTCAATATAATACAACAGACACCAACATACCCATTCATTTTTCTTACAATCTCTCTGTGATGGAGTTGGGTTTTTGTTTGTGGCATTGCACCTACAGCCACTGCTTTATCTCCTACCCCGGGATGGTAGGAAAATCACAGAACCACCAGTTTTAGATGCTATTCACAACGACTTATGTAAAAATTCTGTTGAAATCTTTTTCATTGAATTGATTATAATCAGTGCAAAATGTAATGTTTAAATTGTTTGTTTTTTTAATCTGGTTTGTTTTTCCAGCTCCAGGCATTCCGTCTGTGACTGCTTATGAAAAGAATGGCTTGAAAGTGGTGGTACATTTTGGCAAGGATCGCCCCAGGCCTGATGTGTTGACCATGGTCGTCTCAAGCCTGTCGACAAGTTCAAGTCCCATCACGGGATTCATTTTCCAAGCTGCTGTTCCAAAGGTAAGCGCTTGTGCAGAGACGGCAGAGTATATTTGTGTGGTGTGCAAAACGGTAAATGTTCTGGTTTTTTGGACAGGCTGTTTTAATCTAATGGTGTTCTTAGAAAGTTAAAGATAATATTTGTAGAGATTAAAGCTGTGAGGCTGGACTGGCCACTCTGGTGTGTCATATCTGACAGGCAGTGTCTACCTGTACATTTTTGTTTCAAGAGCCAAAAGAGGAAATGAATGGTGGTAGGTTTACTGCAATAAAATTGACCCATTTTTACACCAGTTATAAATTCTGTTAGATCGTGCAGAAGTTGACACAGAGCATTTTGTTTTAATTTTCATTAACTAGAAATAATTTTAGTTGATGTGTTTCTGGAGCACAAACACATTTTTTTTTACACTGTTAATTCTTTTGTAAAGAAAAAACAAAGCATACACAGAGTTATTTAGCTATGTCGTGTTTTCATAACTCTATTTAGCGATTTAGAGATGTGAAATGATTGTTAAAAGCTATTTCATTGAACTCGTGTCCTGTTTCAGACAATGAAAGTGAAGTTACAGCCTCCATCCGCATCAGACTTTCCTGCACACAACCCGATCCTTCCTCCCACGGCTATAACGCAGGTCATGTTAGTGGCAAACCCGAAAAAGGTGAGATTCTGTCAGAAGTGGAGAAGGATTTTCTATGTCAGTCACTGTGGAGATGTAGTGGTTTTATTGTGAGTCTACTTACTCAGCGCTCTGAGTGAAGAAAAGCACTTCGACACAGATAGTCATTTAGTCTTGGGTAATTGGAAACGAACAGACAAAAAAAAAGAGGGAAAGAGAAAAGATAAACTAACCTGTGATGACCTCTAACCACTCATAACTGCAGGAAGTAGTAGAAGAGTTGGGTAACTAGATAAGATGCAGTTTGGAGTTGTAGTAGTTTTAGGTGTGACTGCTTGGTTGTGGCTCAAATAAGAACAGTGGAGATGGCACAAAGATGAAGTGGTATTCATTTATATAATGAATAATATAACATTGAAAACTTGAACAACTTTTCATGCCCATTTTTTTTCTCTATTCACTCCTATAAATCATATACTGTAATAATGAAACTCATTGTTAGGAACTTCAGTGATAGGAAGGATGAACACCCTTTCCATGCTGGGCAGTTGATTTTGGTGGGGGTTTTTAAAAAATGGTTACGTATATAATATTTGGGTCAAATTAAGCAAATAAACAGAAAGCAATATGTTAAAACTGTTGAACTAATCTTTTTGTAATTTTTTCACCATATTTCTGGATAATTTCTCCTACAGTATTTGCAGCAACAAAATAGATAACTCAGAACTTCAACCGAATCAATCCAAGATCACAGGCTCAAAGGCTATGTAAGAATAATGTATCTTCTTTACCTGTTGAGTAATGCATAACTCCTTGGTCTAGTTTTAATATAAGTTGACTTATTCTCATTTTGTTTTGTAATTTCTTTGTACAGGAGAAAGTTCGCTTGAAGTACAAGTTATCATACACAGCTGATGGGAAGCAGGTTTCAGATGTTGGTGATATTGATGGCATTCCTGTTCAATGAAAACAAGTTTATGATGATATATGTTTAGAACTGAACCGTGCAGATTCCCTTTATGGAAGGATGTTGGGCTTTTAGCTCTTACAAGGTTGTTGTTTTTTTTGTTGAGATGATAGAGGCACTCAAGTGGTTTGTTTATACAAGTATTTGTCAGTCTTTGCATGTCTGATGTCTGCACTTGTGGGGAGAATTGTGTATTTCTCGGATCTTTTTTGTATTGTAGTCTTTTGTTTCTTATTTGCTTGATTTGTTCTGTTAGAATATGATGACACTTTTCCTGCCTTTCTTTCTTCTGTGATTTCAATACTCATGTCAGAGGTCCAGCAATCATATATCGACTTCATTACCTTATCATGCAAAATGTATACACAGTCAACGCTGATTAAGTTGATTTGAATGGTTTTTGATAATGGCGTCACAATATGTTGCGTATCACATTTATATTGAGTATAAATAATCCTCTGTTATTGTTCTGTGCTTTTAATCAGTACGTGCAGTACGTGGGTGTCAGTGATTGTTGTATATATAGCTGTGATGTCACTTCACATATTTATTATAATATCACTGAACAGAGATTTCTTTTATCAATTCGCAAGGGCCTGTCGAAGAAAAGTTGAGCTTTTAAAAATGTTTTCCTTGGATAAGGAAAGGATACAACATTCTTTTATATTAAGAGTAAAGTTTGATTTTGTGAATATTAACTCACTCAGTTCTGGCTATTTTAGCACTGCATATACCTGTTTAAATTCTTTGTCAAGGATATTTTCTAAATTCTGTGCTTCAGCAGTTTTTACATAGGCCAATACATCGAGTGTTTTTTCTTAACTTAATTAAGAGTATATGAAAGCTAAGAGAATTGAGATAACTTGTGCATGTATTTTCTAATGGATTTTTTAAAATCGGGATCAAAACTGCGAAATTCTGATGCTTGGAGCTCATGGTTTAAATAATTATTTTTTACAGTCAAAGAAGAAATAATAGCATGTAGAACAGACAGGATTTATAGTGTTTTCACTCACCATCACAGTAGAGATCTGATTTACTGATGAGAAGAATATTGGATGAAAAAAATGAAGGGAAGAATTTTTTTTGTATAGTTGTGGCAAACATTCTCCCACAAGAGTTTGTCTCCAATAATCGATGTCAGCATGACTACTCGGTTAGCACTTGTTCGATTTATATTTCACACGCACCTCTCAAAAGAAGGTTGAATGCGTTTTTACAAAGGCCCAACGCTACCACTATGTTTACATCAGGAATAAATTCCAGCATCTAAGAGAGTACGGCCAGGGGTAGCGCTACGGGGCCGTTAAACATTTTCACTCACAGCAGGTGCAGCAGCGCGGGGTACTGAGTGAGTCGTGTATATTGTGTCCTTTGTTCATGGTGATTGTGCAATTTCATGCTACCGGATAGCATGCGCTTTCTGTTGTCTTGTTTTTTTTCTCTCCAACGTGGTGGCCTGTAAGGGGATATGATCTTTCCTGCTTTGTTAGTGATGAAATGCTGTACCATAATTGGGAGGCTGAGGCACCTTTTAGAAAAACAAATTTATTGTTAAGTCCAGGCCCACATGTTTGGGGGTTGGTTAAAAAAGCCAGGAATTTATTCCTTCGAAATTGTACCTTGTTCTTACGTTGGATTCATAAATTTCTCGTCATAAACTGTGTCATTAGTTGTAAATTATCTTTTGTAAATGTTATACAAGTTTTTTTTTCTTTTAGTACTAGTACTATTTTTATGACACTTGAAATACAAATAGGCCATATGAGTACGGAAATTTGAAGTGTTGCCAGAGAGTAACATACAAAGAAAGGAAAGAGAAGAGTTAAGGACGATAAAAGTGTCATAGGAGAACAGGAGCAAACCATACCAGAGCACTGCCAGCCACCCACTTTTCCAAGTTTAAAAGCAGATGGTTATGGTGTCAGGTTGTTGTTTACATACAGGTAACATGCTTTGAACCCACAAGACTCTAAAAGAGTACATGTAGTGCCGTGCTGGTTGGTAAGCTGCCATAGCTTTCGAAGAGGAGAAATATTACAACTTGAGTTATGACTATGACCACACATATAATACTGTTCGTGGTCTTTGAAAGCCATTGACAGTGACAGTATCAATAAAATGACTTCCAGGATTTACTTTTTCAATAGTAATGTGAACTGAAGTTGAATTTTTTCAGATCAGGTCGCATCTTGGGAAAGGCAAGGTCTGGATGAGTAGGCCTATTGCACAATAAATATATCACTTCACTGGTGCTCTTTCAACATTGTAGACTAAAGACTTTTTAAATTGTGTTTAGGTTAGACAGTCATTTTAAAAAATGTGTCCAAAGGAGTTAGTACATGATACATGTAGGCCCTACATGTGATAAATTGAGCCTGTGTACAATTTCTTATAATATTATGTGTATTGTGCAAGTACGGCCAACAGCCTATGCTTACCAGCTGCCAATGTTGATGTGAGGAATACTGGTAAAATAAAATATATATGTATGTTCTTCAAGAATTGCCTGGTTTTGTTTTGTTTGTTTTCTCTTTTACCTAATGTTTCTTACTCAGTGTAGTGTACATGTGACCGATACTAAGTATGTTTGTCAACACAATTGACGTTTAAAACTCAACTTAGATCTTCGAGGGCTATCCCAGAATGAACAGGAAAATGGCCATAATTCAAAACCTTTTTCGTACTTTCAAATTCTGTAACAAGTTTTAAGTGGTTCGGGAGCTTTCCTGATTTTGGTGCTCTATTAATTAAAATACTCAAAGTGATGCAACTGTTTCACCTAGATGTATAAAATAAGGTCACATTTTATTCATTTCCACAAAGATAAATTTGCCAAGGCTTGTGATCACAACAAAAATGGCAACCACAATAGATATGTGGTCAATCGAGCCTTTGTTTTTTACACTACACACAAAATGGAAACAAATCCCACTAAAATTCTGCAAAACTTAGAATTGGAAGTGTTTGTGGTAAGAATGTTTTAAGCAAGTCGAGGGTCTACCAGTGCAATTCCTTTAAAGTAGAGGAGCAAACGACTCTACTTATTTGTTTGTTTGAGTAAAGAGAAGCGCATCGACTCATATTTGGTCATTAAGTGCAAGGAAAAGCAAGACAGACAAGTAGAAACGACAAATGGAAAGAAAAGAAGCAAGACTCATCAGTGGCACCCTCCACATTGAAAAACGTATTCGAGATTACAAAAGGCTAAAAGTATGTAATATTTCTGATACATTAAATCCTTCTAGGTCAATAGTTCACATTAATTGACACTTTCATATGTGGTGTACCGTGTAGCAGTTAGGTGCTTCGCTGTCACATGCAGAAAACCCGAGTTTAATTCCCGAGTAGGGAGAATCTTTAATAACTTTATCAATCAAGGGTTTAATAACCGTTACAAGAAGTGAAGCAACAATTGTGAACAAGCATGAGACTTAATGTACTGTAAACTATTATAAACAAATCGGAATAACATTCTTGCTAATGTACAACCTCAGAGACTTGGGAGTGCTTGGCTACACGTTTCTTCTAATGACTGTACAGTGACTAATTATTATACATAATGTACAGACAGAAACAAAAGTTTAGAAGTTTTAGTTTTTAGTAAGAGATTGACGGCACGAACAAAACACGGCTATTATTAGTGCCGAAGTTGAGAGGTGTTACTTAAGAGTACCGTAACATGCCTACAAAAAAAAAGATGAGGACAGAAGGATGATAGGTAAGGCAGCGTGGTGGAATCAGGCGCTCGTCAAAATATTGAAAGTCTGGAAATTAGCATTTTTTCCCGCAGGTTTTGGGAATTTTTATCCAATTTTTGTTTTTTGGCTCAACACCTTTCATGCCCATTAAAGAAAACATTTCTGTATGGATTTTTAGTGAAAAACGGTGATTAAAGGCAGAAAAAATTTAATTTTCAGTTTCCGCGGACTCTGAAACCAGGAAATATATCTCAACGTTGACGGAATTGTCTCGCCAATTTTACCTCTGAAACCAAGCGACCCCCCAACCTCCTTCAATCGCCAATATCTGAACTTGTATATAACACAAATGGATATTTTTTTAAAATTAAAAGCGAAGCAAATGGACAGGCTTTTTAAGATGATACATGTACTAATAACTCCAAATGTCCCCAAATTGACGAGCGCCTGATTCCACCACGTCATGACACAATTAGATGTTTGATTTGAATAAGAGGAAAGCTCAGTTGGCACAGTACAAGTATCATCTCGAATCCCTGCTTGGGTGTTCTTGAACTTGAGTTGCTTTGTGGAGTTTTCAAGGCTTTCTCCCTTTTGGCTCGGTCGTATATAGACCTACTAAATTAGTGAAGTTGGACGACCAACAGAATCTAAAAGCCTATTCATAAATATCACTGCAAACTAAGGTTCCCACACGTTTTCTTAATGGTGTCAGCCTAAAGGGGGGGGGGGGGATAATAATAAGGGCAGCATACACATATATCTAAACAAAATGTTAAAATGTTGGCATATTTTTCTCAACACCACACTTTTTAACGAACGCTAAAGAATCAAGATACAGGGTGAAAAGGCCTAATTTTCGATGCTTACGTTGACACGTCTAGACAGTCGGGGGATGTCACACACGCACGCACACATACACGCGCACACGCACCCACACACGCGTGCGCGCGCGCGCACACACACACACACACACACACACACACACACACACACACACATTTGCCAACCGTCCACGTCCTCAGCGGCTCACGACGGAGAGAGAGAGAGGCTGACAGACACAGAGAGAGACAGACACACAGAGAGAGAGAGAGACAGAGAGAGAGAGAGAGAGAATACAGAGAGAGAGAGAAAGAGTGAGGGGAGAGAACGAGAAAGAGAGAGAGAGATACATAGAGAGAGAATGGGTGGGTTGGAGAGAGAGAGAAAGAAAGAGAGAGGGGGGAGGGGGAGGAGGGAGAGCGTAGATGGCTGCTGATTCATCAGGAGTGTCTCTCGTTAACTTCTGAATGGGCTGTAGAAGATCCACAAAGTCTTTTCGAAGATCACTATGAAATCACGGGTGCTGGGATGGAAAGGTGGATCCTGATGAGGCGAAGACAGAAAAAGTGTGAGATGGGGAGGGGAGAGATGTAAACAGATGGAGAGAGCTAGAGGGATATATATAT